ATGTTATTCTGTCTGAAGTGATTCTCTGTGTCATTCGCCTTTTGCTGGAGCACCTTCACCTGTAATTGTAAGGCATGTAAGTCCCGGGAGTCTGTCGTGGTGGAAACCTCTAGCTACGATATGCCTCTGCTACATGGGACTGGAATCAGTCTAGGTCATGACAGATCAAACTGCTTTCAGTTGCCAAGTAATTTTTTGTTTGTTGTAAGAGTCTCCTTACAGGAACGGATCATTTCCATAATGTCCACGGTGGTGGGACTGGCCTCATTGCCCGGATCTGGAGCCATCTGTGTCCTGACTGACAGGAGGCCTTGTGGTCAAGATGGCTGCCGGAGATGAAGAAGGGCGGGGGGTACTCATGGGTGTACGAGAAGAACACAGCTTTCCAGGAGCACGCGGGGTGCCATGTGGCTTTCTGGAGCTTGGGGCGCCGGTTAGTGAGCTCAGGTGAGGTGTAAGGAAGGATTGAAAGGATAAGATCAGGATTGGAGCCCAAGAGCCACTTGTCCCACTCGGTCTCACATTCCGGCCACCATCCATAGCCCAACATATCTTATTAGCAATGAACCGAGGGGCAAATGTACACCTGCCTGTCAACCCAGACCTCCCTTGGTTCACTAAAAATGTTAACATTTCTAATTAAACATAAAAATGTATATTTAATTCAAAATTGTGCATATAAATCCTGGAATGTGTTCTAGTCATTAACTATCAACGACTGTTTAAAGTTGCATCTTTGTAAAGTAAAGGATACATTTGTTTTCCTTTAAAATGTGAAATCTTTGTGTCTGATGTCTGTCAGCACATTGTTACATTCCAATATACAGCTGTGAACACCGTTTTGTATAAGTTTTCAGAATTTTTAACTTGGTAAAATGTCAGGTGCATTATCCAGTTCATTTCACATTGGCACCCAACTGGCTTCTATTTTTCAGTGAAATGACATTGTATGTCACTTAGGCTAGAAGTACCATTCCATCTAATGTAATGGTTTGACAGACTACTTGTAAGCTTTCCCTTTGTAAATAAAGCTATGCTGATGAGTCATTGAACATCAGATTGAAATTTATTATGATTTTGAATTGTTTATTCTTGTCTTCGTACTGTTTTAAGCCCATTTTCCTTGATAAAATGTTACCAACAATAAACTGTTCAATTTAAATTCTAGACTGATTCAGACCGTGTGTGTCAATATTGCCTGTGGTATTCATAGGATCTGACTATTATTCATGCTCTTCTATTTTTTAACCCGTACTAAGGGGATTACTTATATAGCAGCTGCAGACAAACCACATTTATATTGGAAGCTTTTTTTTTTTTTATACATACATGCGGTTTTCACATTGCAACTGCAAAGCAAGAATGCTCCATTTGTTCTAATGAATGGGAAAAAAGTGTTTTTTTGGCCTGCAGTGAGGTGGGCAAAAACAAAACACCAAAAGTGAACAAAAAAGTGCATGTGAACACACACAAAAACACATGCACTTAAGGTGTGTCTATTAGCCCCCTCCTGAAAAGTAAGGACCCTGTTCTTACCCCCTTGAGTTGCAAGACTCCTGGTGGAGGCAAGGTACTTTCAGGTCCACCTAGCCAAAAGGACCAGCAGACCCTGCTCCTCATGGTCAGCCAAAAAGACCAACAAGTATTATAAAACACTATATTGCCAAATGTATTTGGACGTCTGCCTGTACACGCACATGAACTTTAATGGCATCACAGTTATAGTCTGTAGGGTTCAATATTGACTTGGCCCACCCTTTGCAGCTATAACAGCTTCAAGTCTTCTGGGAAGGCTGCCCACAAGGTTTAGGAGTGTGTCTATGAGAATGTTTGACTATTCTTCCAGAAGCACATTTGTGAGGTCAGGCACTGATGTCAGACGAGAAGGCCTGGCTTGCAGTCTCTGCTCTAATTCATCCCAAAGGTGTTCTGTCAAGTTGAGGTCAGGACTCTGTGCAAGCCAGTCAGGTTCCTTCACTCCAAACTTGCTCATGCATGCCGTTATGGACCTTGCTTTGTGCACTGGTGCACAGTCATGTGCCATCCCCAAATTGTTCCCACAAAGTTGGGAGCATGAAATTGTCCAAAATGTTTTCGTATGCTGATGTCTTAACAGTTCCCTTCACTGGGACTAAGGGGCAGAGCCTAACCTCTGAAAAACAACCCCACACCATAATCCCCTCTCCACCGAACTTTACACTTGGCACAATGCAGTCAGGCAAGTACCGTTCTCCTGGCAACCACCAAATCCAGACACGTCCATCAAATTGCCAGACAGAGAAGCGTGATTCATCACTCCAGAGAACACATCTCCACTGCTCTAAAGTTCAGTGGTGGCATGCTTTACGCCACTGCATCTGATGCTTTGCATTGCACTTGGTGATGTAAGGCTTGGATGAACCTGCTCGGCCATGGAAACCCATTCTATGAAGCTCTCTATGCACTGTTGTTGTGCTAATCTGAAGGCCACATGAAGTTTGGAGGCTATTGACTCTGCAGTCAGTTGGCGACTTCTCCGCATTGTGCATTTCAGCATGCGCTGAACCCGTTCTGTCATTTTAGGTGGCCTAGCACTTTTTGCTGTTGTTCCCAGTTGCTTCCACTTTGTTTTATTACCACTAGCAGTTGACCGTGGAATATTTAGTAGCAAGGAAATTTCACAGATGGACTTATTGCACACGTGGCAACCTATCACGGTACCACACTTGAATTCATGGAGCTCCTGAGAGCGACCCATTCTTTCACAAATTTTTGTAGAAGAACATTTGTGGCCATAGAGGTGATTGGAACACCTGACTCCAATTATTTGAAGGGGTGTCCCAATACTTTTGGCAAAAAAGTAGCTATATATATATATATTTTTTATTTTTTTTTTTTTTCTTAATCATCTAAATTATGGAAGCAAAATTAGAATACATTCTGAAACATGTCGGCGTATTTGCCTTAATCATTGAACAATCTCAATGTGAGAAGAAACAAGCACACAGCTGAGTTAATCATCCATTCACAAGCACAACATGTGTAACGTAGCAAAAGTTATACCATTTTGAAGGTTTAAAAAACCTAAAAATATTCATACATGCAAAAAATACAAATTCATTTACAAAATAACCTGGAAGTTTTGGATAGGAGAACATAGATTAGCGTTTGAAGAAGAGTTTACAGTGGTTGTTCAAATAGAGAGTGGCACGTGTGGTAGCACAAAGACTTCTGCTGATTGGTAAAAGGCCATATCACTTTCACTAAATAAATTGTATTCAAGTCATTCATTTAAAGGCCATCTTTGGGAAACTAGAAAATTTCCCCTTACAGTAGGGCTGCACCCACACTGCAAGGGTTAACTGCTCTTTTAAGTCTAGAGGGCATAGATAGAAAAATGTATACTTACTTACTTATACGCTCCTTCATGCTACTAGACTGGTCCCAGCAGCATCTTCTCCTCTGTTCTCCAGCAGTCTAAGGTCCTGACATCATCAAGACCAAATCCATAGCCCTTCATTTGATGTGATGACACTGAGGTCCAGTCCGCTGCCAGAGCATAAGACTATAGACCATAGAGCTGTCTTCTGGGGTTGAAGTAACAGGTACATAAAAGTGCTTTTACTTTCCTTAGACAAAACAGCAGCCAACCCTTGCTTCACGGGCACAGCCCCAATACAAGGGAGAATTTTCAAATTTCCTTGAGATGGGCTCTAAGCATGTGTTTCTTTGCTTCTGATTCCTTGGCATATTATATGCAGTACAGTCTATGCTTACTTAATTACAAGCCACTTTCAGTTTGCTGAGCTAGATATCACGATTCATCTGATAAGTCTGCCTGAAGTGACCACTCAAATCACCCACAGCAGCTTGTTATCTGTCATTTGCTCCTAGCTTACCTTCTAATGGAATCCCTATGGCTATCGGGTTATTGTAAGCCAAAAATATCTTGAGGAGGATCAATAGTAGCTGTGCTGCTCCAAACTTGTCTCTTACCCTGTACCTCTAGATCCCATCAGGTGCAGGCTCAGGAGTGCATTTCCGCTCAGCTGTTCTGCTTGTCAAGAAGAAATTAAAGAAATTAACGAGCTGCACACTAATGCCATCACCGATGTAAAACCAGCTTCAATATAATCAACAGATGATTCACAATAATCTTCTGTGCAATGTATTTCATTGCACGACGGCTTAATAATGGAGTTTGTTTTACATTGGTGATGGCATCTGTGTGCAGCCCATCCATTTCAACTTGACAAGCTCAACAATGTTTTAATCATTTGCAGACATTTGCAGACACCAACACCAGCTTTCTCTGCAAACGTGAAAGCTCCTCCACCCATAGGTGGGCTCCTCTATCCTAGGATAAGCTACACCATATGGCCAAAATATTGTGGAAATCTGATCGTGACACCTGTTATATAGTCAAAAGTATGTGGACATCCCTAGAAATGATTGAGCCAAGGTGTTTACAGTAGGGATACTGATAATTATACAGAATTCAGACATTTTAGCCAATTGTGTTCTACCCTTGTATGTTCCAGCATGAATGTGCCCCTGTGCACAAAATCTTGTACACAAAGACATGACTCTTTTGATGTGAAGGAACTCAAGGAACCTGCACGGAACACTGACCTCAATACTACTGAGCACCTCTAATATGAATTAGAATATAAATTGTCAGTCAGGTCTTCTCATCCAGTAGGTTCACCCAAGTTCATATGGAAGTGATGATAAGCTTCTATTTTTGGTAAAATGCATGCTTGGATCCTGACTTTCTGTTACAGAGTATCTGGGAGATGTAGCTCCAATCACTCTGTAAATTTAGCCACTGCCATGTCACCCTAGAGATAAACATGCAATGTATAGTATACACAGGTAAACATAATTTTGTAGCATTAAACACATTAAAGTTGCATTTAGAAGGAGATAAACCTGATGCATGTTTCATTATACTTTGCAATTTACAAAACTAATTGTGGAAATTAAAACGTAAGCTGAATGCTCTTGTTAATCTCTTACAGATTAACATTAACGTTGTCCTGTCCAATGGATTTGAAGAATTTCCCTATGGATGTACAGACATGCGCAATGCAGTTGGAGAGCTGTAAGTGTTTCATGGTTTTATGTTTTTGCAGTCAGCAGTATAAATGGTTCATCAATATTGCATTTTAGTAATAATAATATTCTTCTTTCCAATGAGGTATGGTTAGGATATGACTAGGATTTACAAGCATGGACTGTCATTTCTATGTTTTTGGAAATGTCTCCAGAATGATACTCTTTTCCTCGCAAGATGATTTCTCGAAGTGATTCTATTCTTGAAGGGCAAATCAACTGGTTTATATTAATGCAGATCACCACAGAAACATATACTTCTTTCCACCACTGTTCTGTTTAGCTGCTGGGAATGAAAAAGGAAGCCCTGTGAAAGTTACAGGCCAAACAGAGCTATGGAGTACTCTATGAAAGAAATGATGGGCCCAGTGCTGTCACATGGGAGAGCCCACACTTACATGGGCCCACACTGCTCAGTGAACACTGCTCTGATACAGAGAAATATCATTGAAGTCTGCTTAGAAACAGATTCTTCTTGTCAGTACCTACATTACCACAGGACACAGTAGGGCCTGGGAATTCAGTGAGGGAACCACTGATGCAGTGATAGACCGGGACATTGACACTCCCAGAAGTGTTGTTTTCTGGCATTACTTTAGAGAACAATTTCCATGTTTCAGATAGGCATTCAGCAGCACAGGTAAGAGGTAAGCATTTACTTTCTTCTCTTACAGAAAACTCTTTTGGGGAAATTTCATTATAGCGACAGGGTCAATTTAATTTTCCAAAGAGTGACTGAAATCGCCAAACAATAAAAAAAATGTCAACAAATAATCACAGAACATTAGAATTTTGGTTGGGTGAATTGTGAGGTTTCAGCTGATCATACTAATGCCAAGCATCGAATTCTATGAAAAGATTACTCAGCATGGTTTAAAGGATAAGTTCACCTTTGGAAAAAGTTTACATGTTCCAACTGTTTTTAGGGTGGGACATGTAACATGTTTCCACGCCTGCAGCTCCTGTGACAGTGGGCTGGGGATCTTTGTCCTGCACCCTCTGGAACTATGCATCATACATTCAGAGTTCTGTGAATGAATGAACTACAAGTACCGACAGAATTGGGGCCTTTCTAGCTGTCGGCTTGTAGTTCTATAATTCTGTCATTGCGTATCTGCCTACCCATATGAGGTACAAGCAAACAACATACACTGACAGTCTGCAAAAGCCCTGCATTGCACCTGCGAGATGCTGATTGCGGGTGCAATGCTTTACAAGCTCCTAATAAAAAAAAATAGTAAATGCACAATTTTTTTAACCTGCAAAAAGATGTGCATTTAATATATTTTTTTAAATAAGTGAACCTATCCTTAAGTGAATACAGCATATTTTCAGAGTCTGATTGTTCTAGTTAGAATGACCAGAAGCCTTTTGCAGTGTTTCCCAGCAATGTTATATTCTGTATCTCTTTACTAAAACACATAGCTACCTCCAAAATGTGTACATTCTTTTTCTGAAAGTGTATAAGTGATTTTCAAGCAATCATAACTAGAAATACCTATCCAGTTTGTTTTGTGTAATTTGTAGCATTTACTAAACCTTCAGATTGTAAATCGAATCAAATCTATAGAGTGGCCTAGAGCTTTGTCCTCATATACAGGATGAAATTTGTGTACATAAACATGTCAAAGTGTACCTATAGCCACATTCTTGTTTTAGATTTGGTTTAGGGGTTAACCACGTCTTACTCTGTCCAAAAGTTAAATAGATTTTTGGACCTTTATATACTCTGACGTGATTTTGTTTACAGAAAGGGTAAATGCAGAGAAAGCTTAGGGAATGAATCATATACAAAAGTAATAAATGCATATGTATGTACAGCATGTATGTGAGCAAAAAAGACACCTGCACTGAAATTCCGCCACTCTCCTCCATTAAGAGAAGCTGTACCAGAGCTTTCATGAGTTAAAAAAACGATCTCTGAATGGAAGGAGTGGACCTTTCATTTATCTGACCATCCTATATTCATAGATTGTTTTTCATTCTTGGAACCTATACTACAGCTTCTATGAATGGAGAAAAGAGGCTGAAAGGACGGGCAAGTCAGGAATAGTCAACAATCTTGATGAGTGCCTGTGATAAATCCTTCGACTCTATTAACCACCATGGCAATAGAAAGTTATAGATACAGGGGTCAGAGGCAAACTGGAAACCTTTGGTCCAAGGGGCAAATACAGAGGCTAATGGTTCAGGTCCCCCCATCCTACCTCCTCCCTGCCTCCTCCCAGGGCATGATTAAGAGCATCACAAGCCTGGTGCTGAGGATTTTGGGGGCCTTTTATGGAAATAAATAAAATGAAACTGCAAAGAATTTTTGTTAAAACAAATTATATATTAAAACAAACTAAATTGAATAGAGAGAGGGGAGGGGGGGGGGGGGGGGGCGGTGAGAGAGAGATTGGGGGGATGAGAGAGAGGGGGGAAGGGGAAAAAATAGGTTCCATAAATGATATGCATGGCCAGATTTTGCACTAATGGGGCATAAAGGGGGATCGTTAAACAGAAACCGTGCCTAGTCGCTATGAACACAGTACACAAATACCGCAGTCCTTGTAACAAAAAAAAAAAATACTCCTATTTATTGTTCCACATCTGACACCTTCACAGACACACTTAAACCTCAGGACAATGGATACATTTTTAAAAATAAACGCTTCCATTACATATGTTTTTGTGCACGCAAAAAGGATATAAATTTGTCTCACTGAGCCTACCTTAAAGAAGAACGTCATTAAAACCAGCAACTGTTGAGACAATAAAACACCTTGGTGAGGACTATGTAATATACAGAGTACATTGTGTAGAGTGCAGGGGTCAGGAGTAAGTAACCTGCAAAACAGCATATAAAGTGCTGCAGTCAGGATGAATCCACTGTTCGCATCAGAGTCCTTCCTTACATCAGAGTACCCAGTGTTCCCCCTTACACCAGAGTGCACCCTTACATAAGAGTTCCCCTTTACATCAGAGTCCACAGAGTTTTCCTTTTAAATCAGGTTCTCCCCAGCATTCCCTACCTACATCAGTCTCTGGAATTCCCCCTTACACTAGAGTCCACAAATTTCCCTTTTACATCAGAGTCCACATAATTCCTCTTTAAATTAGAGTCCCCCCACTTTAAATCAAGGTTTGCAGAACCCCTTTTACATCAGAGTTCTCAGAGTACCCCTTTACACAGTAAGGGGGGGCTCTGCAGACTCTAATGTAAGGGGAAATGCTGGGGACTCTGATTTAAGGGAGAATGATGTGGACTGGTCACTAGAACTCCCACTTGCATCAGAGTTCCCAGAGTCCCCTTTACATCAGAGTCTGAAGAGATCTCCCTTACATCAGGGTTTCCACATTTCCCCCTTACACTGCCATTCCTCAGTCCCCCATAGTCTAGGGCAGTGTTTCTTACCTTTTTTCAGTCAAGGTACCCTTTAAAATTCTGCACAATCTTGAGGCACCCTTTAAAAAATATGCACAATCTTAAGGCACCCACTACAAAATGTAAAAAACTAGACTAGTAGTTTTACAGAACACAGCAACATCTGCATATGTGGGACACCCAAAGTCAGAGCTGATTTATTCTTCCAAAGCAAACACACCATTGCACACTGGTACTGACTAGTATTCCATTTTTTATCTTCTCCCTCGGTTTCTTCCTCTCACACAGCTAATGTGACCCCAGTTCTGATGGAGAGGGGCAGGGAAGGGGAAAGCAAGGATGCTGTGCAGGGGCCCAATGTCCTTCTTCTCAACTGATGACATCATTGGTTTTTTATGTTGTCAGCAGCTAGAAAGTTGTAATGGAGCACAATGAAAACCTGTGGCTTTGTGTAACTAAAAGGCAGGCTTCATCTACCTGCTAGCTTGTATACAATTTTTGGGCAATTTTTAGGCATTTTGCCAAGGCACCTCTGAAGATACCTAAAGGCACCCTAGGGTTTCTGGGCACCCTTATTGAAAAAGGCTGGTCTAGGACACTAAAAGTCCCAGCATAGCGGGCTGCCATACCTCAGTCCCCAACAGAGGGTACTGCAAATTCCAGCATATCGGGTTGCCATTCCTCACTGAAGAATGGCAGCCCACTATGCTGAGACTTGTACTGTCCTCTGTAGGGCCTGAGGAATGGCAGCTCACTATTCTGGGACCTGTAGTGCCCTCTGTGGAGGACTAAGGAATGGCAGCCCACTATGCTTAGACTTGTAGTGCCATTTGTGGGGGACTGAGGAATCCATAGTGGACTGCCATGCCTCAGTCCTCCACAGAGGGAACTACAAGTCCCAGCAATGCCATCAGTCCCCCAAACCACCACACAGAGCAGGAGGAGACTGCCCCAGCAGCCTGCCACCCCCATACGCTCACTCATACATTGTGCCCCTCCCCAATCTCCCCTTACATCATTGTCCTCCTGGTTGGTCCCCCTGTGGAGTCTGGGCAGGGTGTCTCTGCCAGGCCAATGGAAGGGAGGCAAAGCAAGTCTGGACAAGAGAAGGAAGTTACACCTAAAACCTCCTCTTCTGATGCAAGGCCTGGGTAATTTTGACAGGGTGGCGGGTAAGATCCCAGTGGTGCGGCCTTTTTACAGTGCACAAGCGTGGCCCGGAGAGCAATTGTCACCCTTTCCCCCCTGCCCAGTCTACCCCTGGCAGGTGAAAAGGGGGGATTGGAGGAAGAAGATTTCAACTAAATCCGCATCCAGCAGCTAAATGGATACTTTGTACCAGGGGCGGACTGACAACTCATGGGGCCCCTGGGCAATAGGGGATCATGGGGCCCCTGTGTCCATTCCCAAACTCAAAAAAACCTATGAAAAATGTACCAGGGGCATCTCATGGGGTCCCCTACTGACCCCAGGCCCTTGCGCAGTGCCCGAGTTTTCAAATGGTCAGTCTGCCCCTGCTTTGTACTGATTATAATTACAGTTCCTTGTGCTGATTTAACCAAAATACTTTACCTAAACTTAGACTTTAAATACAATTACTTTTGGTGGTTGTGACTGAAGAC